GGAAAACAATCTCCACCAAGGCCCTCTGTGGCTAGATATAATGAGCAGAAGTGAGTAAACTTGAAAATAGAAAACTTAGAAATGTAATGTTCTGGTTTGTGCTGTTATTTCTTTGCCAGTGGTTTCTGTAGTCCACCAGTACCATGCTTGGCAAGGACTGGCTCTTAGTTGTGCAAGCTGGTTCAGTTATGCCAGTTGTATGATTTGATGACTGCTAATAAGCATAGATTTCCTGAAGTATTCCCCAAAATTTTTCCTTTGCTGCCAAAATCCTTATCAGCACTTGGATTAGTTGTAGGGAATGAAAAGTTACAATACATATTGTGTTATGTTAAGACAAATTTGGTTTTTATTTAATCATATGGTCCCGGTCACATTTTGATAGTGTTTTTCCTATGGAGGGAAATGTATCATTGCACCAGTAGGTACCAGAAAAAATAATAAAAAATGTTTGATTTAATTGACTAAAAATAAGGAAAATTAACTCTGTACCAATACAAAATGGGTTAGGCTTTTACTTTAGGTTATGTTGGCACTATATGTCTTCCTGCCCACATATCAGAGATAAAGTTTGCACTTTCTGGATGTCATGGTCTGATTCAGCCACTGCCTCTCCAGGCAGTCTTTGCCCGCATTCTCCACCAAAAATGTCGTGGGTATGCCCTGGGCTAATTTCTCTTACCCCCCACACAATTGTTATAAGTTGAGAGAAGGTTTATGCAGACAAAAGAGATCTGATTTGGGAGAATAATATTAGGATTTATTACTAGCAAGATAAAAACTAAAGAACTCCATCTACAACAATTCTAATTAGGAAAAAATGCTATGTAGTTACAGAAATACCCCTCCCCCCTTTGTATCAGTTCAGGAGGAGAAGCAGTCTCTTTTCCATTTCTGGAGCTCCAGGTCTTTTAAATAACTTTGCAGCACTCGAAAGTTCTTCTTCTATTATCTCTAGGACGACAACTTTGATTCGTCGAAGTTGGAACTGTTTCTCTTTCTCTCTCTCTCTCTTCTGTGTTGGCCTTAGGGTTGGGCCTACCCCCTTCCTGGGCTAAGACTGGAGGCTGGGGGTTACCCAGGTCCTGTGGGATTCTTCCATGGACTGCAAGGAGACGCCTACCATGGATCTTCACCACAGGGTCACAGGGAATAATGGATTTTGAGTCCATCCCTGTTTCCTGTGGGGTCTCTTCCCACAGGAGAACAGTCCTTGATAGACCTCTCCGACGTGGATTCATCCCTTGGGCAACAGTTCTTCCATTCTCTGCTGTCCCTCAGGGTCACAAATTCAGCTGCACCAGCATGGATTCCTCACTCGGATCCCACATCCTACCAGAGCCGACTCGCTCCAGAGTAGGTCTCTCTTTCCCCATGGGTCACAGGTCTCCAGCAGGACTCTGTTTCATTTTAGACCTCTCACGAAGTCTCAGTCTCCTCATGCATCCACTTACTTCAGTGTCAGCTCCTCTATGAGCTGCATGGGGGTCTCCTCACCCCAATAAACTTCCACAGGTGGCAGGGGTTTTTAGTTTTCAGTCTTTTCCCTGCTGAAGGGAGAGAGAGAGGGGGAGGGGGAGAGAGAAGGAGTTCTCCCCCTTCACAGCTTTTCTTTTCTCTCCAGCTGCCAGCTTTGACCTTGAAGGCCTGTTATCTTTGCCTGGAATTTCTTCTGCAGTATGTCTTGTCCAGGCATTCTTCCTCTAAAGTTTTTTTTTCTCTGTTACAAGAGAGAAGGGGGGCTTCAGTGCCACACCTGCCCCTGGTCCAGGGCCGGGGAGGAGGGGGCCCTGGCTCACTTGGGGCCAGCTGCCTCTCCTTACATGGCTACTAATTTCATCTGCGCAACAACCTTCTCTTCCATTTTCCTAAATATATAATTGGCAGAGGAGTTACTAAAACTTTTGATTGGCTTTTTCTCTGGAAAGCCACCTGGAGTAAACCATTTTCAGCCCCAGAGGGGGATGGGGGCAAACCCATGACACTGGACTGCAGGGAAATATATGACCAAGTTTCTCACAAGGACTGTCTTGCTATGGGAGGAAAAATTCAAGACAGGAGCTCTGACCAGATGATCTGCCTACCCTATGCTCTCTAGTTCATCATGACTGTCGTCAAAGGTCCTGCAGACATTTCGCTAAATCAAAGTCCTCCCAAGATACAGCAAAAGGCTGGAAATCCTTGGCTAAGATTATGTTAAACATTAGGAGATAAGAGACACAGAAGATGAGAGACAGGTTTTTTCTGCTTTACTTACATGCTACAAAATGCATCCCAGTAAATGTGGGGGAGTATCATTAAGCTTCTCTGTCTTGTGCCACCTTAAGACATTTTTGTGTGAAATACAACTAAATTGCTGCCTGGTGGCACAGGTTGGTGTGTTGGGGTGTGCAGAGGGATTAGAAGTTTAACCTGCTCTTGTACCTTGTCTTCAGGCCCCATGAAGACCTGGAGGTGTAAAATGTCTCACCTGTGACCTGCTGTAGCAGTTTTCCGTTGGGAGGACTTATGGCCATTAAAGGTTGATCAATTTACCATAAATTACTTTGCAAGTACCCAGCAAACACAGCAGTTAGGAGGCATTTCCCCATGATTGCAGTGTTGCTCAGTGTCTTGGGATTAAGGCAATGTTGCCAGGGAAATGGGACCTTAAATGGAATAGAGAGTCCTCTTTTCCTGGACTTAATGTAAATTTAAAAAAAAGATAAAATTGAAATTCACAAGGAATGAAGTAGAAAAAAAGTTAGAATGTATACTGAAAACCAAAAGGTAAAACCAAAAATAAACTACAAACATACAATAACAGAAAGAGAAAATATCACCCAGAAAAGTCTCTTTATCCACTACTGTATTATTGAATTGGCAACTGGTGCTTCCTTTGGTGCAGTTACAGACGTGGCCAGAAGATGGCGCCGGCAAGCTTTGTCAGTGGTGGCAGTAATGGTGGCCGAGTCCCCAGAGGTGGGGGGGGGATGATCACCTCACACAAAAGGGGATGCAAGTGGAATGTGGCAGGCAGGGGGCTGGCTCCAGTGGCACAAAGGGGACAGCTAGCAGGGACAAAGAGGCAGCAGCTCCTTGTCAAGAGCCAGGCAGGGAAAAAAGAGACAGTACACATGATGCCGGGGTCCTTATATCCCTCCAACTCCTATGGGGCTTCCTGCAATTTCATTTTCCTGCCCCCCTGATCTTGTGGTGGCAAGCACCCTAAAGTGTGGCCCCTCACCCCTTTCTGGCCAGTCTCAGCACTGGTCACGTGACAGATCACGGTACCATTATCAGCATGCGTCCTCAAATGGTATGGTAAAATTACAAGGGATGACTTTAAACCTAAAACACTCAGTTTCAGCAATGGGCCAGGGCAGTGCAGAATCTCCATTTCATTGCTCAGTCTTTACCCGTTTGGGAGATACAGGGAATTTGGGCCAGCCCAACAGTGACAAATATAACCTGCAGGAGAACAGGGTATATGGATAGCTCTTGGATCTGTGTTTACAGCTCTGTCATTGAGAAATGGCAGGTCTGATCCCTCTACCTCTGGTTTTAATAGCATAGTTGAATCATGCTGTTATCTGACAGCACGAGAAATTGTCACCTTAACAAGTTCTACTGCTGGTGGCACATGTGTTTGTTACCTGCTACCTATCATTTTAGAGATGCTATTTGTAATTATGCACAGTTTTGCTTGTTTTGTGCATCTTCTGTTTGCATATGGGGATGAACAGGAAGCACTTGGGGCTCCCTGAGCTGCTGTGATGGACTGGCCCTGCCTGCCAGCAGAAGGGAGATGTGAGCATTAGGGATATGGGTGAAGAAGGCATGATGTGCATGTCTGAGTCTCAGGATGACACTCAGTTTCTTGGTGCTGTTGTTCCTGAATATTTTGTGCCATTCCCAAAAATTAAAAAAAGAAAGAAGAGTTTTTTAGTGTGCTGGTTTAAAAGTAAATCAGTGGGAGAAATGAACCCAGCTTAAGAGAGATTACAAGTCAGAGTTGCAATTTACTAGAAAGATTACAATAAATACAATGATACAGAAAAAATTGGTTTTAACCTGCAAAGACAGATGTATAACCCAACATCCTGGGACAAGAACAAAAAGGTGTTCATTAGCCCCTGTGCTAAGCACCACGTGGTCCCCCTGGGGGCGAAGGAAAATAAACCTGTTGGTCTGGATGATGTTCACAGTTTGTATTGGGTCTGACTAAGATGGTGTTCATTTCCCCATAGTAGCCCTTACAGTGCTGTGCTTTGCATTGGTATCTAGAAAGGTGTTGATAATACACCAGTGTTTTGGCTACTGCTGAGCACAGCATCAGCACTGTAACATTCCTTCCTCAATCGAGAGCAAGATTCCAGGAGGGGAAACAACCAGACCAGCTGACCCAAACTAACTAAAGGGATATTCCATACCATATTATGTCAGTTCAGATATAAAAGCTAAGGCAAGGAGCAGGAAGGCAGGCATTCATTGTCTCCAATGCCTGCCTGCTAAGGAACTGTTACGTGTGCTGAAGCCCTGCTTCTTGGAAGTGGCTGTCTATTGCTGCTCACAGGAAGTAGAGAATAAATCTTTTTATCTTTCATTTCACTTTTGCATGTGCAAGATTTGCTTTGCTTTTGCTTTAATAAACTGCCTTATCCCAACCCACAAGTTGTTTTCCATCTTACTCTCTCCCCTGTCCAGCTGGGAAGGGGAGTGATAGAGAGGCTGGGTGGGCAACTGGTATCCAGCCAAGGTCAGCCCACCACACAGTTCTGTCAAAGTAGTGATCTCAGTCTTGTCAAGAGTGGCAGTCGCAGTCCTGTTGAAGTTCTGGTCCTCCTCTGGATCTGATGAGTGGTACCACAAGTCCCAAAACCCAAAGATTATATATGATCAGGTTCAGGTGGAAATGCCCGGTACATCCCCCAGGGCAAGGAGTTTCACAATGGGTGATTTAACTCAGTGAGTCATGGGATATTTTTGGAATCTTTGATGGTCCAGGTCTTGCAGCTGCCTATTATGCCAGTCCATTGTGGCCCATTAGCAGAGATGACCCCTCTGGTTGGGTGTGAAAGTGCTACTGCTTCCCTGGAGGGGAGTTATCACAGCTGAGTCATTAGTGTGAAGACAAAGAAACACTCACCTGCTTTGCAGGGTTCTTTAGCACCCAGCTTGCAGCCTGAGGTGTCAGGTGTGCCCTGGGCAGCTGCTGCACATGATCCATTATTAACAGTCCATCAGAAATGACACAGGGTGTAGAATACATGGTTTTGGTTATACCCACGTAGTGATAAACTGGTCCCAGTCCCTTTAACTAGGACATTTAGGAAGATGAGATGTTCAAACACTGCATAAAAGGGTAGGTATCCTATCCTGGGGCTGATCTTCAGCAAAGATGCATCTCTAATAGCCTCACTTAAGTCTCTTCCTTCACCTCTGAGTTGACTCTTTCCCTAGTTTAAGAGCCAAAAGTTTTGTGTGATGCCTGTAGGAATGTAGGGATTAACTTGCCAGATTGGGTCAAGGGCCCATCCAAGTGAGGATGTTGAGCAAGGTGCAAGCCAGTGCCAGATATTTTGCAGAAAGCATCTGCTGCAGTTATCTTTCACACCTCATTTCTTCCTCATTCCCCAGTTTCAAGGCTTGTCTCATAGCAGTCCATTTTGTGTTTCCTATAGCTGCTCTTTCCCGGCATGCAACTCACACAGACAGGCTACTGAAGGGTCTCAGCAAAGATGCATGGCCTTCCTCCTGGGTCTCAGAGGTGGAAGATGTCTCATTTATGTTCTGCAGTCAGCGAGACAGTTTCTTAGAGTAGAGATTATTTCCTCAACTATGAAACATTTCTAGAGAGGGAAAGAAATACCTTGAGTTGCACGGAAAGTCAGCAAGCTTTGTGGTGAGCTCATAACCCATGAAAACATATTTTAGAAAGCAGATTTTTTTTTTCCCTTTTATGAAATACTGAGGCTTTTTCATGGAATAATAGAACAGTTTGGGTTGGAAAGGACCTTTAAAGGTCATCTAATCCAACCCCCCTGCAATGAGCAGGGACATCTTCAACTAGATCAGGTTACTCAAAGCCCTGTTCAACCTGACCTTGAATGTTTCCAGATATAGAGCATCCACTACATCTCTGTGCCAGTGTTTCACACCCCTCAGCATAAAAATTTTCTTCCTTATATCTAGTCTGAATGTCCCTTCTTTTAGTTTAGTCCCAGGGTAACAGGAAAGGATGCTTCCCTGGGGTGAAAACCCTCAGAGCTGGTATGTTCCAGTTTTGTTTGTATTTGGCCAAATATTGTTGGTTTTGAAGGAAACAAAGTGTACAAGTTTCCTTTTGGTTCTTTGAGGGAAACTAAGAGCATAAGTTTCCTTTTGGTTGTCTTTGGTATTGGTTCCCTTAAGGTTCACACTATGAACAAGGGATTTGAAGCCCATTAGTATATTATGAACTCCTGGAATGTTACAACTGTCATAGTGCTTTGTTTGTTATATGTTGATTCGCTAGTTTTGTGTTGTTTTGTCTTGTGTTGAAAACAAAGTCAGACATGGAGGTTTTGTTTGTTCTGAACCAGTTATAGAAACATCGCATTAAGAGTCTTTTTATGTTTGAGTTATTATATGGAGGGTAGTTTTGAACAACTGACAAACCATGCTATGAACTGGGGTTTGGGGCGCTGTTATTGTGTTAATCATTTTGTGTGTGTGTTTATTGTCATTTTGTGTTGTCTTGTTTGTTTTTGGAAAAGTTATTGTATACCTGATATACTTTGCTTACCTTGAAATATCCAGTTGCACAGAGTTAAAGATATTATCATGCTAAGAATTGCTCTATGGGAGGTAGTGCTGAACAGTTAACTGTAAGCACATCACATTAAATAAGACCTAAAATAAGAACTTTTATTTTTTATAACTGTTGGTTATATGTACAAGCCTTGTGTAACAGATGTAAGGTTCGCCCCCCCCTCCAACAAACAAGGTTGGGTCAGAACCAGTGTGCATATTGTAGAGCACCCTGAATTAACAGGTGGGATACAGGCATGGGAGGGGCTGTTGTTGCTCACAGTGTAAGGGGGGGCCAGCAGGCCTGCCCCTAGGGGACTCACTGGTAAAAATTAGGTTAGGGGGGAAAAAAAAGAAGAATTAGATTTTTTTTAATTGATACTGGGGCTATATTTTCTGTTTTGAATCAAGAATTAATAGCTAAAAGTGAAAAATATGTTCAAGTTGTGGATGCAACTGGCCAATCAGAAAAAGCTTTCTTTTTGAAACCCCTAAAACAAATGGGAGTGCATCAGTTTTTGTATTTACCAAATTCACCCAAACTCCTATTGGGCAGAGACTTACTAGAAACTCTGGGAGCTGTAATAGAATTTAAACAAGGTAAAATTGGACTTAAGGTAAAGAAAGAACAAATAATAGCAGTTCAGAGTTTAGCAATGAGCTATGTGCAGCCAAGCCAGGATAATTTAAATGTCAATCAGATTTTAGATTAAGTATACCCAGAAGTTTGGGCTACTAAAACACTATGAAAGCCAAAATGGGCAACTCCTATTCAAACAGAACTGCAACCAGGAGCCAAGCCAGTGGCTAAGAAACAATATCTACTGAGGCTAAAAGACAGGACAAGGGATTGAACCAATAATTGAAAACATTTTGAAAGTAGGGCTGAAAAAAAAATTTATTTGGTTTACAGCACTAGATCTAAAGGATACCTTCTTCTGCTAAGGAAAACTTAGCTCACTTAGATAGTGTTACCTCAAGGATTCAAAAATAGTCCCACAATTTTTGGGAACCAATTATCTAAAGAATTGGAACAATGGCAGTCACCACCGGGAGAGGGTGTACTTTTACAATATGTGGATGATCTATTGATTGCTACTGAAAAGCAAGAAGAATGCATCCAGTGGACTGTCAGTCTCTTGAACTTTCTGAGTCTAAATAGCTACCGAGTCTCTCAATAGAAAGTGCAGCTGGTGCAGAAACAAGTGGTGTTCCTGGGATATGAAGCATCAGGGGGACAACGCTCTATGGGAACAGCAAGAAAGGAAGCCATCTGCCAGACCCCCAAACCACAGACAGTGAGAGACCTTCGGGCCTTCCTGGGAATGACAGGTTGGTGTTGTTTATGGATATATCAGTATGGACTAATTGCAAAGCCTTTGTATGACCTGCTGAAAATGACTAAGGGCAACATAATCTGGACCCCCAAAGCAAGTGGAGCCTTCAAATGGCTGCAGCAAGAGCTCATGAGGGCTCCAGCATTGGGGTTGCCTGACATAACGAAGCCCTTTTGGTTGTTCTCGCATGTGCAAAAGGAATGGCTCTGGGGGTCCTGGCCCAACAACCAGGGCCATATCAAAGGATGGCCCATCTGCCTGAGGGCAGTAGCAACAGTGATCATAAATATAGAAGAAGCCAGGAAATTCACAATGGGACAGAAAATTACTGTATTAGTGTCCCACACAGGTTCTGCAGTGCTGGAACAGAAGGGGAACCACTGGTTGTCACTCTCTTGACTCTTGAAATATCAGGCTATCCTGGCTGAATCAGATGATATAAACATTCAAGTGACTAACATTGCCAATCCAGCTTCGTTCCTAGAAGGTAAAACCACAGCTGAACCCATTGTACACGACTGCCTGGAGACCAAGGATGCAGTGTATTCCAGTTGCTCAGACCTCAAAGAAGAGCTATTCCAGGATGCAGAGGACTGGTTTACTGATGGCAGCAGGTGTGAAGATGGCTAGGTGTGCTGTAACCACCACTACTGAGGTAATCGAATCCAATCCTTTGCCCACAGGAACCTCAGCCCAAAAAGCAGAACTGACGGCTCTCATTCGAGCTTTAGAAGTGGCAGAAGGAAAACAAGTTAACATCTGGACTGAGTCCAAATATGCTTTTGGCATAGTTCATGCCCATGGAGCAATTTGGAAAGAAAGAGGACTTTTAACTGCTCAAGGAAAAGTTGTGAAATATGCTGAAGAAATTCTACGATTCCTACAAGCTGTACAATTCCCCTCTCAGGTGGCAATTATGCACTGCTGAGGGCACCTGAAAGGGAACACTGTCCCAGAAATAGGAATCAGGAAAGCTGATGCAGAAGTTAAGTTAGCTGCTGCAAGAGGTGAGGAACTACCAGTAGCAGCCTTAGTGCCAGAAAAGCTAGATACAGACAAACAAGCAGAGGATCAAGAATCAGATTATAACTGGATACATAAAAATGGAGGGAAGCTGTTAGACAATGGGTGGGGTCAACTAAAAACAGATCAGCTAGTATTACCAGAAAAATTAGTATGGCAATTTGCAAAAGCAGAACATGATAAAACTCATTGGGGCTTGGACTCAATCAATATTTAAGAACCAGAGTGGCAGGGCCAAATTTATTTACCTCAATATAGCAAGTCTGAAAAATAATCCAAATACTGGAACTAAAATGTTGGAAGTTCCCCACAAGAAATATATTCATGGTGGAGAAAAATATCTGAAGAAAATGAGAATTGAGGAAAGACAGTTTTGGAATGCATCTACACTACTGAACAACAGATGACTTTCTACCTCAGAAACAGCTTTTCATGTTATAAAAGTGTTAAATTTATTCAATTTAGTACCAATGTTGTTAGAGAAATATCTTGCTTTGTATGTAATGTGTAGTTTCGATTACTGTTAGACCCTGCCCCTATCTACGATTGTAAACCCTAAGCTCATTAGCCCTGTTAGTAGTATAGCTTTTCCCTGCTTTCCATCTCCAGTACCCATGTTTAGATATTGCCCTGCATGTTAAACTCCCTAGAAATCTTCCCAAATTCCACACATTCCATGCTTTACTGATAAAAAGCTAGCTCACACAGCAATAAAGGGCATTTTGGTCTTTTGACCATTTTACCAGTTTGCCTCTTTGTCTTCACTGTTATTGGGGTATCTTGAACCCACGGTCTGAAAATCTCAGTGGTGTTAGAGCTATCCCCGCCGATACTAAAATACATCAAGGGGCAATAAAACAAAGGGCATTTCCCAGGTCAAGTTTGGCAAATTGATTTCTCTGAGCTCCCAAGAAAAGGGGGGTTTTGTTATCTTTTACTTTTGACTGACACATTTTCTAGGTGGCCTGAAGCATTCCCGTGTAGAACAAATGAATCAAGAGAACTGGTTAAAGTCTTGTTGAATGAAATAATGCCATGGTTTAGAATACCCAGAAGTATATCCTCGAATAGAGGATCCCAATTCTGTGCAGAAATTGTACAAGCAATAAGTAAAGTGCTAGAGATTAATTGGCAATTGCATATTCCATACAGACCCCAAGTAAGTGGGCAACTAGAAAAAATGAACCATCTCACTAAACAGCAAATAGCTGAAATCTGTCAAGAAACAAATTTGTATTGGTATCAAACTTTACCTATTGCTTTAATTCTAATCAGGGTGTATCAGGGACTGCTGATATTTTTTGGTCTGTGTTTGGCCCATCCACCTGCGAAAGTTTTGTTCTTTGCCTGCCAAGTTCACTGATAAACAGGAACCTCGTCCTTGGAGAGACAGTTTCTTGTATAAACTGTTTTAATTGGTGTTCTGTAATTGGCTGGTTGTCTGTAGAGGACATTTGAAGGAGAAACTGAAGAGGAGAAGATGAGTAAAGTCCCCTGACCCAAATAGATAAGACCCCTTGAGTTAAACAGAGCATGCGTTAGGGGATTCACGCATGCCCTGAAAGGGTACACTTATATAACCAAAGAGGCGGACTGAGAACCTCTGTCTGGGCGGTACTGGCCACACCTGCCTGGACAGATGCAATCAGTTGATGGTATAGAAGCAGTCAGCTGGGTTTTTTCGAGGGATTTTTGCTTCACACAAAGGACCACTTGTCTATAGCAGGGATGCCTGCACATGTGAGATATCACCCCTCCGAAGGATGCAGCTGCTGTAAAGGTTTCTATATCAGGAGTGGGGAAGACAACTTTTTTAGTGACACCTGCGTGAGTAGGGTGTCACATTCTCTTATTCTCTTTCTCTCGGGTTCCCGTTTACTTGCACACTTTTGTAATAAATATTGGGTTTATTGTTGAGCTTGCAGCAGTGTCTTGGTTTTCAATCTTGGCATCCTTTTGAACTCACCCTGTTACACAGGGTCAAGCCATGGTCTAAAGAAAAGCTAAGTTCATTCAAAATTCTGTATGGCAGACCCTAAGGACTGAATAATATTAACAGTGAAGCTTTGGATCAGATAGGTAATCAATATGTGCATGATTATGTTATAACTGTGGGGAAACAATAAGAATTTTGCTGTGGTGTTGAAAAACCAGATTAAGCAACCTGATTGTAAAGCACATCCATTCACTCCTGGTAATTGGATATATTTTAAGGATTTTTCAGGAGACCCTCTGCAAAAAAAGTGGAATGGACCTTTCCAGGTGTTGCTGACCACATTCACAGCAGTCCAGATAGGAGAACAGCCCACCTGGATTCAGTACTCCCGAGTCAAGAGAGCCCCTAAGAAACTATGGACCTCAGAACCTGTAAGACCAACCACTCTCAAGTTCACCCGACTCTGACTACTGGCATCTTACTGAGTATGGTGACTATAACCTGGGCTGGATCATTAGAGTGGCCATGGTCTCAATCCTATATTGGGCATTCCAGTTCTATGGGAAAAGATCTTTCAAGAGATTACAAATGGAATTAATTTTTGTGTTTATAATTTTACTAAAATAATAGGCTGTGATTTTAAATGTACAATTCCGATAACTACTGGGCAATTAGTTGAAAATGATTATTAGTTGTATCATGATATACCTAAATTACAAATAGATATGGATATTGATCTTTTCAAAACGATGCTTAGACACTCTGATATAGAAAAACTGCTCCAAGAAGTGAACAGAACAACCCAATGTGTGGTCTGGCAAGTAGAGCATGAAACGACAAATATAAAAACTATCCTAACTAAAGTAGAACAAGTGGGAGAACATGATTGGTGGGATGTCTTTACAGGATATTCCCGTACAGCGACACAAGTTTTTCACTACTTAATACATCCAATATTGATCATAGTAGCAGTTTTAATCCTGCTATCCCTCTTAAATGCGTGGCTGTGGTACAAATTAGTGCCATAGTCAAGAAGACAGATAATATGGGCAATGATGCATACCTATTGTATTCCTTTGAAACTTGACGAAAGAATTCGTAAGTCTTAAGAAAAGGGGAGACTGAAACGAGAGCAAGGCCTAAAGAATTACCTGAAATATCTTGCTTGGCTGAGAGAAGCCCCTCCATACGTGCTCTGCCTAAATTGCTAAAGAAAAATGTGTTCTGCTCCATTCCTTGGACCTAATCTTAAGAAGAAGGCTAGAAACATTATACAATAGGTCTGTAGGTCATAAATTAAGGTAAAGTAAGCCAAGGTAGACATTTGAATAGGAGAAATAGGTCTAAAGCCAAGGCTTTCTCCAAGCTTCAGTGACTGGGTCAAAGACAATGGAAAGTTAGAGAGGTCAGAGGAAGACTACAGAGATCTCAGCCTCAATGATGAAGAAAGGTGGATGTACCCCCAGAATTGATGGCCAAGAAAAACTTCATCAAAAGCTCTGCCTGAGCTCTGCCTATCTTCCACCTATTATCAATATGTATGATTAGATGTTACAATCATATGAATATGTATGTAAGATGTTGCAATCATAGAAGTTAGACTGTATAAATTACCCTGTTTTGTACCGATACCTTTGAACAAGTGCTTTGTGGTGATAACTCTGCTTGTTCCTGATGTCAACAAATAAATACCATTGCTGCTCAAAAGACCAAAAGCTTCTGGGGAGTTATTTTACCAGATTTCTTGGATTCACCTGAACAGCAGCAAGCATTTGAACAGATTAAGCAGGAGATTGCCCACGCTGTAGCCCTTGGGCCAGTCAGGACAGGATGAACTAGAAATGGAAAGCAGATGTATAGAGTCTCACATGACGAGTTGCAGAAGCCACAGAAGGATAAGGTGAATCAAGTCAAGTCACAGATCTCAGAGAATGAGAGAATTGGCCAAAACTTTACCTCTACTCTGACTCATGGATGGTGGCCAGAGCTCTGTGGGGGTGGTTGGACAGATGGAAGAAGGTCAATTTGAAACATAAAAGGAAACCCATCTGGGTTTCCGAAATGTGGCAAGACATTGCATCCCAGATAGAGAAGCTGATCTTGACAGTCTGCCATGTAGATGCACACATGCCCAAAATCCGTGCAAATGAAGAACATTACAACAACGAACAGGAAGACCAAGCTGCCCAAGTCAAAGTGTCACAGTTAGACCTTAAATGGCAGGGTTTAGAGATGTAACAAGAACTGATAATATTTACAATGAAATGTACCAAAGAAATTATATATAGCTAATCCAAGTGATTTAACCAAGCAAAGGAAAAAACAATGAGGAGGAGAAGTGAGGCAGCCAGCCAAGCAATAAGCAGTTACTGTATAACCAAGTGAATTGTCTTGAAGAAGTTAATAAGGCAGGCAGTCAGAACATTGGGGGCTTCAGACAGAGAAGACCACCAAAGACCCCTGATGAAGCCCCTCTGAGACCTTAGAAGGATATGCATATGCTAATAGATGTTGGGAAATGTCATGAATATGTAATAGGTATGCAGGGAACTGAAAATTAATAATCATGTAATGTTGGCATATAAACTGTAGCAAAGATACCTCTGTGTGTGAAATGATTCCCAGGGCACCTGGTGTGCTGTGATCATGCAGTGTGTGATAATAAAAACATTTTCCCCCTTCCTGGCAGTAGGTTAAGGTACATTTCAGTTGGGAATTTAAAATGTACACACATGATTTTCTTGTCTTCTTTCAGTTCACCTGACATTATTCTTGTTATGTTGCATAGCTTTTAGTATTCTCAAACAGGGCTAACTCACTCATAGCAAATTATTGTCAAGAGAGAGTTTTACACACCAAACATATTTTCAAAAACAAAACAAAAAGGGGGAAGGAGAATATGCATGT